GTTCAGTTATATTGCTGTTAATAAGATTAAGTAGATATTGATTCAGATAAAGAGAACAAATAACTAAATGTGCTTCTTTTAAGGATATTTATAGACCAGATCTGGGTTGGGGAGAAATAAGATACATCAGTATATGGGTTTGAGAACGGATGAAAATAAATCACATGGTTAGATATAAGCAGATGATAATGTCAGGAATACAACAGCCAAATGAGGCGTAGATTTGACAGGCCGAGCACAGGGAAGCACGAGGGAAGCAATCCAACGCAGGTGCGGGCAGGTAAGACCCCCAAGGTGGTATGTCTCAAAACAAGAGGGAGGGAAGGGAGGGAAAGGAGGGAGGGAGGGAGGGAGGGAGAGCATTCCAGGGCGGAGTCCAGCAAGATGTCAAGCCAGGCACCGGAATGTTGTTGTCTCAGAGGTTCTGAGGATAGGCGGCTGCAGGGGAACGGGGGGGGGGGGGGGATAGAGGGTAAGGGAGACAACCAAAGGAGGGAAAGGTCACTCTGTCGTGGTTTCATCCATGTGTATGAGCTGTGTGCGCGCGCGTGTGTGTGTGCTTATGAGCGTGTGTAAGTTTGTGTGTGTGCGTGTGTTGTGTGTGTGCGTGGTGTGTGTGTGTGTGTGTGTGTGTGTGTGTGTGTGTGTGTGTGTGTGTGTGTGTGTGTGTGTGTGTGTGTGTGTGTGTGTGTGTGTGTGTGTGTGTGTGTGTGTGTGTGTGTCTGTGTGTGTGTGTGTGTGTGTGTGTGCGCGCGCGCGCGCGCTTATATTTGTGTGTCCGCCTATCCCGACAATACGTGTATGCTTCTACACCTTTGTATCAGCACCCGTGTGTACGTACGTGGGAGACTCCAAGACACCATTCTTGGCCACCTCTCCTCTCTCTCCTTCGCCCTCCCTGCCTCCTTCCTTCCTCCTCGCCCCCGCCCTTCCCTCAGACACCCACGAACGGAGAAATGGAGCATCAAACATTCATCTCTGACCAGACCTTCTTCCCTCTCTGTCTTCGCGGGATTCCCTCTGTCTCGCCGCCCTTCGTCAGGCTCTCTTCGGGCCTCCTTTTGCGAGAGCGGGAGTGGCAGGGAGGGGAGAAGGTAGAGAGGAAGAGAGAAGGAGGGAGGAAGGGAGAGATAAAAAGAGAGAAGGGAGGGGAAGAGAGGAAAAGAGAAGTTAGAGAGAGAGAGGGAGAGGGAGGAGAGAGAGAGAGAAGAGAGAGAGAGAGAGAGAGAGAGAGAGAGAGAGAGAGAGAGAGAGAGAGAGAGAGAGAGAGAGAGAGAGGGAGAGAGAGAGAGAGAGAGAGGAGGGAGAGGGAGGAGGAAGGAGGAGGAGAGAGAGAGAGAGAGAGAAGAGAAGGAGGGAGGGATAAGAAAGAGAGAGGGAGGAGAGAAAGAGAGAAGTGAGGGAGAGAAGAAGAAAGAGAGAAAAAAAGGGAGGAAGGAGAGTAGAGAGAGAATCAAAGAGTAAGAGAGCGAAGGTAGTAGACAGACAAACGAATAAATAGACAGGAAACAGACAAAAAAAAACGAACTCCCACATATGAAGACTCGATATGAAAATCAAAAAAATAATAATAGTCATAAAAATAGAAATATAAAAACCGGAATATAAACGAAAGGGAAAATTGTCGACGTCGGAAATTTTAATGACGTCGGCAGTGCTTTATCGTTACACACAAATCATGTCGCTGAAACATTGCTAACGCGCAGATTCACGCTGCCGCTGTCGATAACGATGTATTATTATCGAAATTAAATATAGGGTGTAATAGATCAGATTCGGAAACAAGGGAAAATGTTATTCGCCGTTGTTAGTATTATGATTACTATCGCTTTTACCAATACTATGTTTTGTATATATATATATATATATATATATATATATATATATATATATATATATATATATATATATATATATATATATATATTCTTTTTTCCTTTTTTTTCTTGTTCATTCATGTGTGATTTTATAATCCATGTGAAATATCTATATACGTTATACACCTCTTTTGTTTGCGCGTTTCATGGCGGATTCGGCGGGAATTGCACTGGCCTTCGCCGGCGGTAGACCAGAGTGACACGTTGCGTAGCTGAGCGCGCGTGGGCGGCCGTATTGGGCGGCCGGAGGCAGGAGGCTCCGACTTGGCGTATCGGGCAGGCGCTGAAGAGAGGGCGGGCAGCGCACGGGCGGAGGAGGAGGGGGGGGGGTGGAGTGGCCGCGGGAGAAGTGCAGCCGGCTTGTTAGTTGGGAGAAATTTCACACAGGTCCAGTAGCGCGATCTGCATAAACCCCTGAGGTGTGGGTGGGCGGGGCCTGGCATCCTCCCGGTGGCTGCCCTGGGAGGTTACCATGACAACGCGGCATGGATCGCCCGGGGAGAGGAGTGTACACTTGTAACATCCTCGACCCAGCCTCTCCAGGAAGCTGAACTCCCTTCTCCTCCCAAGCTCCCTTTTCCTCCCTCAATCCTCTCTCCCAAATCCTTTCCCCTTCCCAATCCCCCTCTTCCTCACTCCCCACTCTTCCGAAATCCCCTAACCCTTCCCAACTCCCTCCTCCTTCACTCCCCACTCCTAAATCTCTTGTCCTGCCGACCTCCCTTCTCCCTTCCTTCGCCCTCCTCCTCAACTCCCTTCTCCTCCTTCTCTCTGGCCCTTCCTTTCGTCCACCTGCCTGATGCATCGCGGTTTCGGAACGCTGAAGGTGGTAATAAAGTGGTTTTCGTGAATTATTCTTCAACGTTTAAGTCTCTCTCTCTCTCTCTCTGTTGTTTACCTTTCTTCAACATTTCTCTATCTATTTATACGTCCATCTATCTATCCGTCCATCTCTTTACTTTTTTCTTCTTCTTTCTTTCTTTCTTTTTCTAACTTTCCTCCTTCCATCTTTCCTTTCTTTCTTTCTCCCTTTCCTGGCCTTTGTTCACCTTTTACCTGCTTATCTCCATCCCTATCTATCTCCCGCCACTTTTCGGTTCTATTTTTTTCGCACTCACTCCCCGACCCTTCCACGTGTCCGCTATTCAAATAATGGCTTTGTTTAACTTCAAACTACTCTTTCCCGACTCCCCTTTATATTGACATTACGTGTCCTCCTCCCCTGTCCTCCCTCTCCCCTCCCCTCCCCCTCACCCTTTCCCGCCTGCACTGCCGTTTCGCTTCGATTTTGCTTTTCTCTGAATTTCGAACTGACAGCGGTCGAACTTATTTGCTTAATGACAAAGGGCAAATATAAAGAGAGAGGTGGAACGAGAGAGAGAGAGAGAGAGAGAGAGAGAGAGAGAGAGAGAGAGATGAGAGAGAGAGAGAGAGAGAGAGAGAGAGAGAGACAGAGAGAGAGAGCAGAGAGATAGAAGAGAGAGAGAGAGAAAGAGAGCGAGACAGACAGACAGATAGAAAGAGACAAGAGCGAAAGGAAGGAGAGAGAAAAAGAGGAGGGAGTAGAAAGAGAAAGGGAGATACAGACACACAAACACACAAAGACAGAAACAGCGACAAACGAACAGAGAACAAAGAGAGAGAAAGCGAGCCGGACAAAGAGAATTGCATTTTTCGTTTTGAAAAAATAATGAAAAAAAAAGAAAAAAGAAACACGACCTCGTATACGTTGGTCAATTCGTGACCCCGGTTCCCCTCGCCACTAAGTCAACCCAGCTGCCAAGAGAGATACAAGAGAATTGGATTGGGGATTCATCAAACGTCGTCACAGCGGCGGCCGTACCTCGTCCCCCAGGGTAACGTAGCCCGAGGGACGCAATATTCCAGGGGGCCATTTAGGACGACATCGCTGTCCCTCCACCATCCGCTTCACAAAAATGAAATCGTCGTAATAAACAATTTTCCGAAGCTACGGCCGCGGAAGCATCTGGAATGCCGCCTCGCAACGATCGTCCCCAACCTCTCTACAAAGGGTCGCTTACCTTTAACTTACCTCGAGTAGTATTACTGGGTCACACGGAGGGAGGGAGAGAGAGAGAACAGTTATGAGTTGCCGCGTCGTTATGGAGGACGCGGAGACCTTCTTATTTGATTTCGGGAGGAATATTGTTAATAGGATGAAGGTGATAAGAGCGGGAGGTTCTTTGGCGATGGTTGTCTCTGTCTAACCCTGAAATGAAAACCCGGTTCAGCAGCAAAAATATCGGCATTTTCAAATAAATTTCCAGGAAATACAGATCACGCTGTCTTACGCAGATGTTTTTTTTTTTCATCATCCTTTCTCATCTAATATCTATAACCCATTTTGTGATGAAGGAATATATGAAAATTGCAGAAGCATATTGCTTAAGAGGTGCGTACACCTGTGTTTGGTTAAAGAGAGGGGGTTGGGGGGGGGCACATGAAGATGGAGAACTGTTATCAATTTTCGCACGAGGACAAATTCATGCTGTGGGGAAGGACGGTTCTCACACGGCATCAAGGGTGTAGCAGCACGAATCACCAGGTGAGAGAAAAGGTAAAAACACACTGGTAAATGTTGAGAAAGGAGCTACGGACCAGCGGCCACCAGATGGGACCAAAGGGGAGAGGAATTACTGTCAGGAATTTCTACGCATTTAAAGGAAAACACAGGAAGGTTATCTGCTACTCTAACTGAGCAGTCTGTGTGGTCGGTTTTCCTTTATTCTGTTATGAACAAAGAGCTTTTACCTATCTATCTATCTTGAATTGTGAGGTTTAAAGTTACATTTTGTGTTTGCTAATGTAAAGGTGCAAATGGCCTCTTTGTATGGGTAACATTATGTAGGCATTTTCATTTTATTCTTTATTGGGAACAACTAGGGATAGTTATCTACAACAACTTCCTTCTTACCTTTTGTATAAACATGGCTCATGTTCCGAATTATACCTGTTCGCATAGAATCTGCAGTGTCACACATTTTCATTCGGTATGCACCATGCAGTAAAAAAAAAAAAAAAAAAAAAAAATCATATTCTAGCACCCGACAATGCACCTTTTTCAAGCACAGAACTTTTTCTATATAATGCGCCAATCACGAAGCACAATGCATTACAGTGAAAGAATATCAGCCGCAGAGTATTCCCTGGCACTATATCGCACGAAGCACCAACTTCTCAGTGAGGCACGGTGACTGAAGAAAAATAAAGTCCTGTGTGAATGGTGGATGTAAAACGCCACACGCACGTACGAATGGGCTTCACAAATTGTTCTCCAGTCCCATTTGGGTTCCACACAATGTATCACTATTGTTTGCACTCAAGAGCTTTTCATTAGGTCTAATAATAACCTTTCTGGTTTATGATCATTATGCATTTATACATGGATAATGTCAAAAGCATGCACCTTTTCTCTGACGTATGATATAACTGACATAGACCGTAGTCGGTGTAGAGTGTAATTAGCGTAGAATCATCTTACAGCACAGGCGCTGTAATCCGCTCTGGGTCATGGATAACCCCATGAGCAAGAGCCAAAGCCAAGTAGCTATTCCTGGCCCGGTCGTAAGTCGCTCATTGTTCCAGGAGGTCCGATATAAGCTTCACGATCCGAAGACCCACTCCAAAGGTGGCACCCTTGAGAACACCATCAACGGGAGGGCAGACGAGGAAGCCCCACCTCCCATTGCTAACTTGTTGCCACACAAGGACATCAACAAGGTACAGTAACCTGCTTATCTCTCCCCTTACAGGGTTTTGCAACACCTCGCTTTTTCTCTCTTTCCCCGTCCCTCTATCCTCCCCAACCTGTATGTTAGGACGAGCTCCTCCTTACCCTTTCCTCTTCGCTGTATTTGGTCAGTGCCCTTGTAGTAGGACTGCAGCCTGTGCCTTTCGCTCTCCCTTATTGTCGTAGGGATGTAGTGTCCTGTACCTTCCTGTCCCTTCCATTTGGCACTCTGGGTATGCTTCGTCGCCTTCTGCTTATTGTACACAATCTAAGAATCTCTCTCTCTCTCTCTCTCTCTCTCTCTCTCTCTCTCTCTCTCTCTCTCTCTCTCTCTCTCTCTCTCTCTCTCTCTCTCTCTCTCTCTCTTTCTGTCCTTCTCTCTTTCTCGTTCTCCCTCTCTCCCTCCCTCTCTACCTATTGATCTATGTATCTAAATTCTACCTTTATTTCTACCTCTGAAGCTATCTATCTGTATATCTCATGTGTGTATACACACGTGTATTTAGCTCTATCTTTACCTATCCGTTCAAATCTTCTCTGTCCTTTCTTCTGCCTTTCTTTCTATGCCTCAACAAGAAGCGTGCCCAAGTGTGCTCTGTGCCCAACCAGTGTCCTGTTACTGGACCCATGCCCTACCTCGATAACCTCCTAGTATCATTTACTTCCTTATTTCCCGTCGTCCTGTTCCCTTCGACATCCCGCCTGTAACTTCGGATTGTAAATCCTTCGAAAATCTAAAACTAAATCCTGTCCATTCCTATCCTGATACTTATCCTTCCCTCTATCCCAGTCCTTCCTTTCCTTACTAAGGACTGTCTTCAGGAAAGCGTACAAACTTGCCTGTTTACTTACCAGCTACTACGGACCCCCCACCCCCACCCCCAACAATACCCCTCCCTCCCACCCTTCCTGCCGCCATCAAACGTTTCTGACACAACTCCTTCAGGCGTGAGTCAACGTAAGAAGAAATTGACGTTTATTTACCACCTGTTCTCCTCTCTTTGCCCCGCCACCCCCTGCTGCCCTTATGCCGCGCCTTCTCGACTTTGAAGACCCGTGAAATTTGATTATTTTTGTCCTCCAATAATTCTCATTTTAGCGACAACTCGACCTGAGATAACCCGGTCCCCTCCCCCTCCTCCTACCCTTTCAAACAGGATGCACGATTCGAGGTAAATTTGACCCCATAACCCATCTACTCCATGAAGTCTCCATTCCCCATATTTAGGATAAATGTCTCCAAAAATCCTGGATAAAGTCCCCTCGATTTGGCTGTCTTCGCCCCCCCTCCTCCTCCTCCCCAACCCCTGAGGATGACCTGATCTGCCTTCGTCTTGGCTGCCTCACGACCCTAGAGATACTCCTGTACAGTAAGATGATGGCGAGAATGTATCAGCTTTCGACTCCTCCAAATTCTTAAAAATCTTTCTCTCCTGTAACCGAGTTCCGACTCCTCTTTTGATATTATATACTAAAGCCTTTCTTAAGCTTCATCAAGTCAGTAATTTTGTATGTTTCTGTAAACAACTAAGAGCAACTTTAACAAATTAATATAAGTTTTCAAAGTTGTGACAGATAAAATTAGATAAGATCCACTACTTACACTTACCTGAGCTCTACGCTTAATAGGCAAAGAGCCAGTGGCAAAAATCGTCCATATACACACACCGTTTCACTACTTAAGAAAGAGTTTAAGAAGCGCCACAGAGCCGTCTTGTCTCACTCGGTCAAGATATTTACTAAAATGTATAGGCAAGATGCTGAATTTACTACCTCAGTCTACAAGAACCAGATGCCTCTCCTTACCAGCAGTTCTATACTGTTGTCGAAATTTTGCATTTTTAAAGAAAAGTATCTGCTTCTGAAGCATCATGGTATCATGTGCATAATGTAAATACAATTGACTTTTTTTACGTTTCTTATTTTTTGCATGTGCAACTACCTGTCTCGTGCCGGCATCCTGTACTCAGCATCTTGATCTTAAGGCATAAGATGATAATCAGCCATTCGTTACATTCTACCTGCTAATTCAACAGAGAATGTGCATCATGTCATTTCGCAGCTACTTGAGTCTGCTAGCCCAAGATCTCTCATTACAGGATTGTCTTGCCTCTGCTAGCATAGGTAGCATTCATAAGTCCTTAATACAAAGTACAAAGAAATCACTTACCCACAGTCCATGCTAGTCATAATCTTGTCTACTTTGACCGAGATGGAATGCATTTAGGTAGTCAGCACTAGTGGCTACAAGAACCTGTAATGCGCTTCTAGGAATTAATGACTTGCCGAGTTTTAGCCCAGTTCTAGCTGCCAAGTTCTTTTTTAGAGTATATTTGAGTCATCACCATGACCTTGGTGTAGCCAGAAACTTTTACTTATTACCCTGGTTTAAACCCACGGAAAAGACACACTCGTTTTTTTAATATATTTTAGAAACAAGAATGACAGAAAATCATTTTTTCCTTTTGTTGTTTTACAGATCACAACTAATTTCGCGCTGAGACAACATGTATGTTGGATATCTCTTTGGTCTGCTGTAGCCCTAAGTGTAGCTTGTAAGAAGCCCAGGCTTTCAGCCCGCGAAAGACCTGGCGACGGTCGCCCTCGCGCCCAGCGTTCTCGAAGAACCAAGATGGCCGTAGAAAGGGGCCTGAGGTGGGATAATCTTGAGCCTCCTCCTTGTATAACCGAGGGAGAATAATAGAAAGAGGTGTATTAAAATTGATGCAATCATGTGGTGGTTCTTCGAGAGCGATGGGTCCTAGGTGACTAGTGTGCATGCTGGCAACCTGAGGGAGGTGTACCTCAGCCTCACTGCGCAGAGTGAAAGAGAAAACCTGTAGAATGAAAAGAAGACGATGTGCGTGCATATGCGCGCGGGCGTGCGTGTGTATGGGTGGGTGAGTAAGTGTGCGTGCGTACGTGAGTGCGTACGTACTTGCGTGCGTACGTGCGTGTGGTGTGGGTGTATGTAGGTATGCGTATGCGTGTGTCAACTGCAATCATATATTAATTCTATGTACATCATCTATGTACTTCATAGATGTTAAAAAGTCTCTTTGTCGTAGTGTGAATCCATTCTCTGTATGGTGAGCCTGTACACGTGCATGCATGATCGCAACCGCGTCAGAAAGAATGGTAAGGGAGAATGCAAGTAGTTAAAAAAAAAAGAAGCGAGAAGAAAGGTAAGGAAGAGAGAAAGGGTAAGAGAGAGGTGTACACTCGTCGTTTCTGGCACATGTTCGTTATTATTCAAGTACGAAAAATTCTGTTCAAGCTGTTAAGAAGTTATACATTCACTCGTGTTTTAAATGAACAGAGATCCAGAATAGCATTTTTACCAGTTTAGGATAAATTCAAGGGTAAGTAAATTATCAGTAATATTAATGGAAAATCGTGTTTTATCCTAATGCTTATAACATCAATGCGATAGTTAGACTGATAATCAATATTACCTCAAATAAATATACTAATAGCCATAGAAATGTTTTAGCTTTGCAATTCTGACACCAAAAGCATTTGTAGCATTTATACTAAAATAGTCATCACACAGATAATCCACTAAACACAAAGAGCACTTGGTCGGCATGTGATAGACGGCATTATCAAAACCAAAGTAAACTATTATCTTCACCAAGAAAAGAGTAAAACTATCTCAGACCGATATGCCTGACAATGCATTGTGTTTCAGTGTCCAGTATGTACGTAAGATGCTCTTATAGACACTTACATGTAATGACGAAGATCTCTGACCTGACCCCTAGCAACTGACCCTTGACCCGTCTCTTTCCAGGGACTCAACAAGTTGTACGGTTGCTCACCATCTGACATCGATAAATACTCCAGGATCGTCTTTCCGGTCTGTTTTGTCTGTTTTAATCTGATGTACTGGATAATTTACCTTCACATCTCCGACGATTCCGACGAAGATCTCATTCTTCACAACGCTGAGGGTTAAAAACCGAGAACTTAGAAATACCATCGTACAAAGATTGACTTTTCATTCTTCTTTGTTTCGGTCTATGTGTTTGATTCTGAGTTGGCCAGCGTTGAAGTTCGATTCTCTTTGGTCATTTCGTTGTTGTATTAAATGTTTATAATATGAGGATTCTTCATCTTATTTTTCTTGGGGATAATGATGTTGAGTTGATTATACATGGTTAAGGATTTGGTTCAGATCTACTCACAATTTTTATGTCTGCGAGACCGTCTCAGGTTAATGAAATTCTCACGTAACTGTATAATATTAATGCAATGATAATCATACCTTAGCAGTCCTGCACATTATCACTTTATCATTATAGCTAAAAAGGAGAGATATAATGTGGTTGAGAGATGATGAAGAAGCAAAGGGAAAGCAAAAAGAGAAAAATAAAATAAGAGGACTCGAAATCCTAAAATAGACTAAAAAGATATGCAAAGTCCCCCCCCCACCCGACCTTCCCCACCAGACATCCTCTTAACAATTCTAGACCCTCACCCTTTCCATAGATCCCTGAAGCCCCTGAGAACAACACCCTAAACAACCTTGCCTGACCCTATAAACTCCTCTCCCCCCTTCTACCCCCACCCCCACCCCACCCCGCACAAAAAAAAAAACAAAAACAAAAAAACAAAAAAGCATTTCTCAACCTTAGCATCTTGAGTTCATCTTGAGAGAGAGTCGAAAATCTCCCAGGGTTTTACATACTCAATAGCGATCATATACACAGGGGTTTATCATCTCATCACTTACAGACCTTCGGAAAAGATATCTCGCTTCAAACTCGGCGACTCGGAGGTCTTAGGAAACCCTATGCTAAGAAAAATATATCTCTCTGCGGGAATCCCACAATGCAAAAATACATATATACATATATATATATATACATTGCAGGGACCGAGCATTGCCGATAAGGTCCTTTTTTATCATCATGAACCCGGGATATAGCAGATCAGACAATTCCTACTAGTTTATATGGATGATCAACATAGTTTATATAAATTCTCTGGTTATCATAACATACTTCTGATTTACAAGAACTAGGCTAAATGCTTTCCTCTACACATCATTAAAGCTTTTCTGTACAAACGCTAATGCTCACCTCATGGAGATTAAGACTGCGTCCTTCATCCCATTGGCCTCGGGGGCCGTGCGGCGCTATGACGTCACAGCGGCAGGACGATGTCAAAGCAATGATGTGACTTCACGGTATTGTTGTGACGTTACGGTGGTAGGATGACGTCAGGGCAATGATGTAACGTCAGAGTATTGCTTGTGACGTCATGGCATGATGACTTACGTACGTAAAGAATGGTTGTAGTCCCAGAGCCCGTCACAGCACCCCTGTGACGCGACAGTGGTAGGGTTGATGCCACAGTCGTGAAGTGACGCGGCTCTCCGTATCAGTTGTGACGCGGCCGCACGACACGGCCCGAGACCAGACCGGAAGAAGAGCGCAGCCTTGATGTTTTACGCCACACACGTGTGAAATGTCTTTCATGAGTATTCCTCACGCATGGTGACGTGTGCGACGCGGCCTCGGCCTGTGGGTCGGAGCCGCTGTGTGTCTGAGTATGTGTAGCCATTCATATGTATTCCCACGGTGGTTTTCTGTTGTAGGCCCAAAGAGAGTTCTTTGTAAATTCTCTTTGATGTGATAAGTAGATTTCTGAGTTTCAGTGAAAAAAGATGTCAGGATATTAAATGTATGAAGTTATTAATATCAGTAATGAATATATTCATTCATTACAAGAGAGCTGCTAATACTGAGAATATGTATAATATATATAAATATAAATATATGACTTTTGTACGATTTCATGAAGTCATTGCTAACAGTACCGACGTCTAGGAGAAGAAGTAGGGGTGACGACCTCTGCCGTATGAAGTGCTTCTTGTGATATAATAACTAAGGCCGGAATGGACCTCTAGTGTTGTGTGGCCCCCCCGGCGCGGCACACCATGTGGACTGCATCACCGCAGCTTGGCTTACCCCGTGCAAGCATATCCATGGCCAAGGTGGACTGAAGCCCTCGACTGGTAAACCGAGGCCCGTCTTGTGATATAAGTTTACTCTGCCTGAGGACACTGAGTGTACAGAGTTGTCAAGTGTCGTGGGAGAACCTGTGCCTCACGGCGGCGACGCCCAGCTGGAGCCAAACATCATGTGGGCCTCCCTCGGCGCATGCGCACACGCCAAGTTTACGCTGAAAAGCATGTCGCCCTAGGTTATAACCACGTTGTGTATAATCACCCTTTCTGGTGCTCTTGGTATTGCTAATGAATCCCTCACACCTGGAGTACTGTTCGTTCCGCCTTACTTGAATTTTGTACAATCTGTGAGACAGTAGCAGAGACCGGCCGCAACAAGCCTCGACACCAGCGTCACGTGGGTGATCATCCACAACGTAAACAGTTTGTGTGTAAGAAGCCTCATGCCTATATGTTCATCGCTTTGTACCGCTTGAAGATATATAGCATATGCTAATGGTAATAACTAGAGTACTTTGCGTTACTGGTCAATAAGTAACTCAATAACTTGGCGCGGAAAGTTCGGGATATACGCGGTCACTTTTTCTCTACATGTAACTTCGCTGCCTGACGCTGACTCGACGCAAACTAGGCCATCAGGATATACTTCTGTCGCTGCTTATGCTGGCAGGTATGCTTTTCCGTTTTACATTTTGTGATCAAAAACATTAAAATGTAAACCTATCTTGTTTAGACATTTTTGTAAGGATTCCCATGGATTAAACATAGATATAAAAGTGTGTATATGTACATATGAAAAATTTTACAGTTGTTACATAAATACAGTTGCTCACCCAAAGATAGGTCAATAGAATCCAATTGGTGTGATCAAGGCTGAAGCAGATTTTCAGCAGATTCAGGAATTTTCCAAGAATTTATTTTTATCAAATAAGCCTAATTTGTACTAGATATCAGTGTCAGCGCTCCTGAAATGTACATAGCTTATAGAGTAACAGATAAGGGTAGAATTTATTTACTGCATGGTTCTATTATGTTTTCGTGTTCATGTCTAGCAATATCTTGTTAGACTATAAATGTTCATTAATACAAAAAATGTTTGAGTATGGAAGCTGAAATAACCTTTATTCCATGAAGTCTGTGAGGGACTTTAAACTCATAGCATTTTGTGCATTACGTTTCGTTGACTTCTTTGTGGTCGAAAGTTCTTGATTTTCTTCACCTCTGTCAACCATCTGTGGCCCCTTCGATCACAGCCTCACTTACTGTCTCAACTGTCCCCTTCTCCCTCTTCCTTGCGACTATATGTTCGTTTTGCCGCTAGCATGATTTCTCCTTTCGTTTCTCGTTTATCCTCCCATTCCTCGTCCTCATTCTGGGCTTCATTCACTTCCTTATTCGTTGTGTCATCTGCTATCTTATTTTTGTTTATCTTACTTTCTCCGAATTTGCCATTGCGATAGTCCCATTCAACCTTCCAAATTTTTCCCTCGTTTCATTTTCACTCATGGATGTTTTTTCTTTCTTTCTTTTTTTAGTTCCTATTTTCGGCTATTTATCTGCCTTGTTCCTTTCCTACCTCCTCCTCCTCCTCCTCCACTTCCTCCATTCACTCATCCTCCCTCCCTCGCCGTCTCCTTCTTGCGCTTGGGTGTTCCGTTTCCTTAAAGTGGTATGAAGTAGGAAATTAAGTTCTAGTCAAATCATCAACGTTAACCACTCATCTCTCGCCATGAATGCCCGTGCACTTTACCGGTTTCATGAATAGGGTTTTGAATAATCGATATTTATTATTAAACAGACCTGCAATCATGATCTGAGTGTTTACATAGATTTTATGGACGTTATGAATAGAAAGGTGAACTATTTAGATAAATCGCGATTGTTTTAAACACAGGACCTTCCTATGTTTCTCTGTTGGTAGATGTTGGATGCCGTAGTCTGTGGAAATGCGGAGCAAAAATCCCTACATTCTTGTATAATTTAATACGAGATAAATATATATATATAGGCTTAAACGTTTCTAGGCAAGTGGTCGGGATTTATATACATATATATATATAAATATCAGGACATGGGACATGCTATTTTTATTTAAATCGTATGACGGGATCACCGCACGCAATTTCACTGGTATCAATAATTCAACTCATGTTTCCGAATAGTAGATTTATTACTCGCGGTAAAATTAGAATGTGTTAAAATGGCGATAATTTCCCCCATCGTGAGGAAGTAGCAGTCTATGTTTCCGGGAAGATCCGGCTGGAAGTCCGCCTGATCTTCTCAGCGTTTATATAATGTAGCTTATTTGGACGTGTTTCATATTGTTTCGATATATTCTCGGTTTTACGGGACGGTGTTAACGGTCTTGTGTTTTGAGCCTCCCTCTGAATGACCGAAGATATATAAATGTATGGATATATAAACTTATACATATATACATACATGCATGTATATGTATATGTATATATATGTATGTGTACGTATATATATACATATATATATATATATATATATATATATATATATATATATATATATATATATATATATATATATATATATATATATACGTGTGTATGTATATATATTCATAGATATATATGTACAGTATGTCACGTAAGTACGGGTTCCATCTACCCTACATACCCTAACCTGTACTACCACACATGCAGACATTGTAGCCGTGTTCCCCATCGCTCAAAAGACTGATCATCACCAGCACCAGATGTACCTTGTGTTCTTTCCTCGGTGTCATGTACTTCCGCCTCCTCCTCTCGTCATGCGCTAAATGCCCCCACCCCCTCCGCCCCCGCCCCCTCTCCTCCCACCATATGCTACGCGTTCATCTCCTTCTCCTTCTTCCTTTTCTTTCTCGCTCTATCGTCGTCTCTCTGCGTCGACCCACCCTGTTACGCCTCTCTTGATTTCCCTCGCTGGTCTTCAGGCTTCTTCAGCGACTTATTTCCGGACAAGTACCGCGATACTCGAGCGTCTTCTTGAAGGAGACTGGAGGATATCGTCACGGGGATCCTTGGCTTCTGTTTCTCTTGTCCTTCACCTTCATGGCACTCTCGCTCTGTCGGAGCTTTGTCCTTATAGGAGCAGTTTCACACGCCAGTATCCCTAGTCGAGTCGTCTTCACTGTTGTTGTCATCGCTACTTCCTTTGGTCACTCACTAGTCCATTTTGTTGTGATTGTTTGGGTTTCAATAGGAACAGTTTGATTGTGTGTTATTATTAATTATGTTATCAACATTTGTACAGTTTATCTGGTTATTATCAACGGCATTTTTATTTATCAATGGTATTATTACTGCAAACTGTGTATTTTTAATAATTTCTAACATTACCA